GCGCCACGGAGCGTGGTGGGTGGGTGCGTGAATGTCCCACACGGGATGGACAGCGATGTGAACGTTTCACCCGACATGCCGTATGGTGTGCTTGAGAGTGATATTGTTATGCTACAGAATTACATGCTTATGATTTTGTAATAAAAGATTTTTATGTAATAAAAAAGGGGCATTACTTGTGCCAGACCCTGTATTTTTGACTTCTGGATATTGACTTTGTCACCCGCTGTTTTGCCAAATTCATTTATTAGGTCGAGCAGTTTTTTGGTGGAGTCCATAGGATTTTCCATGTACACTGTCATGTCATCCGCAAACAGTGACAGTTTTGTTTCCTCCTTTCCAATTTGGATGCCTTTTCCTTTTTTTGTCTGATTGCTGTGGCTAAAGCCTCCGATACTATGTTGAATAGAAGTGGTGAAAGTGGACAACCTTGGGTTGTTCCTGATCTTAGTGGGAAAGCAGACCCTGTATTTTTAAGATGCACTTATCACAGTAAAATACTAGAACACATTTATAACTTCCAAGTATCAAACATGAAGTGTGGCCTCCATTTGTATTGTATGCTTGCCTTGACCCCTGGCCAGTGCTGGGGGTGGGCCTGCCACCAGCAAGGGCTGCTAGCACCTCCTTCCTCATCTGGCACAGGAAGGACAACGCTGTCACCTTAAATTTGCCCCTCCCGGACTGAACAGCTGAGCATTCCGCACATGTTGAGGGCCATTCCTTACCAGGAGTTTGCTTCTTTCGTACTGTGATTATTTTTCTCTTTACTTGTTTCGACTCCTTATCGGTCTTAAGCCTGTCTGACCTATGTTAAATTTTCCCCAGATCTGTAGTCTTTAATCTTGCTTTTACTTTGCTTATGGTGTTTGGCCACACATCAGCTTTCATTTCCTGTAACGAAGTGGGCGCTGCCTTTTCTTGTACAGGTTGTGAGACTAGAAACTTAGAAGGCTCCCCCACCCGAGACGTAAGCACCTAGGTTTTCTTCAGGAATGTTGTTTTACGTTTCATATTCAGGTTGTTAGCTGTCTGGAGTTGATTTTTGTGAGTGGGCTCCTGTTTACTTCTAAACAGAACACCAAATCTCCCCTTCCAGCCCCAGACACCGGAGTATGTCTAGCGAGATTCAGATGCTCTGTGATTGCCTGGCAGGTACCTCAGTCTTGTGTCCAAAACTGAACTTTTTATTTCCCACCCCACCCCACCCCCCACTCCACGAACACCAACAACAAAACAAAACACCTGTCCCTAATAGTCTCCGACATTGCCACCAACGCTTCCTGCAGCCTTTTGGTTCCAGAGCCCGAAGGCCCTAGAGTTGCTCTGAGGTCTAGTGCTCCTGCCCTTCACTGGCCCTTCAGTGTTCCAGGCCCAGCCTCCTTCTCACCTTGTCCACTGAAACCACCCCGACAGACCACCATCTGTTCCCCCCTCATCCCCCTCAGTCAACACACACCAACCATAGTGGTCGTTAAGATAAACCTTGTGTAAGGACTTCCGCCAAGATGGAGGCATAGGTGGAGACATTGTGCTTCCTCACACAGCCAAGTTTAGAGACAACTAAATATTAGCAACAGAAAACACAGCCAGAACACAGAAAATTGAACTTTTCGGCAGTCTGATAACAACAAATTCTTCAGCCTGACCGGTAAGAGGGGCGAAACCAGCAGCTGGCGGAGCAGTGTTGCACAGGCAAACTCGGTCAGACGGACTCAGGCCCGCGATATCCAGGCGCACGGTTGGACCTGGTGGGCACTCAGCAAGCGACCGCGGGGAAACAGCGAGGGAGCAGGGCTGCGGGTTGTCTGTGGTCGAGCATTGGTGTGTGGATAGACAAGCGAGGGAGTGGGCAATTGGACAGGACCCAGTGGGTCCCGGCGGCGAGCGGCAGCAGCAGAGGGCGGGCGCTGCCATTTCCCGCTCTGACCCCGCCTCCACATGCAGTGTCATAATCCAGCGACCTAAGTGGCCGTGCCCTGGTGAACCACCCAAGGCTCTGCTCCACACCCAGCGGCACGAAACAACAGAGGGCGCCGCCATTTCCCCACTCTGACAACGCCCCCACATACAGCATCACAACCCAGAGACCTGGGAGTCCAAGGCTCCGCTCCTCATACTTAACGGGCGTGAACAGACCAAAAATGGCTCAAGAAGATCTCAAAGCCCCAGAGCCTATAAATCTAAGTGATGAAGAAATAGCAAAACTCTCAGACGCACAGTTTAAAACACTGGTGATCAGGATCCTCACAGAACTGGTTGGTTATAGCCACAAATTAGAGAAACATATGAAGGCGAAACTAATTGAGATGAATGGAATTGCACAGGAAACCAATAACGATGAAAAGGAAACTGGGACTCAAATCAATGGAGTGGACCAGAAGAAAGCAAATAATGGCCAAACAAAAAAGAGTGAAGAAGCAAGAATTCAAAAAAATGAGGAGAGGCTTAGGAACCTCCAGGACATCTTTAAACGCTCCAACATCCGAATTATAGGGGTACCAGAAGGGGGAAAGGCACAGCCACCAGTGGAAAACTTATTTGAACAAATAATAAAGGAGAATTTCCCCAATCTGGCAAAGGAAATAGACTTCCAGGAAATCCAGGAAGCTCAGAGAGTCCCAAAGAAGTTGGACGCAGGAAGAAACACACCAAGGCACATCATCATTACATTAGCCAAGATTCAAATGAAGGAGAAAATCCTAGAAGCAGCAAGAGATAAGGGGACAGTCACCTACAAAGGAGTCCCCATCAGACTGTCAGCTGATTTCTCAAAAGAGACCTTACAGGCAAGAAGGGGCTGGAAAGAAGTATTCCAAGTCATGAAATCCAAAGACCTACAACCAAGATTGCTCTATCCAGCAAAACTTTCATTTAGAATGGAAGGACAGATAAGGTGCTTCTCAGATAAGACCAAATTCAAGGAGTTCATCATCACCAAGCCCTTATTATATGAAATGTTGAAGGGACTTATCTAAGAAAAAGAAGTTAAAGAAACATGAACAGTGAAAAGACAGCAAACTCACAGTTATTAACAACCACACCTAAAACAAAAGCAAACTAAAAGGACAGCTAGATCAGGAGTGAACCATAGAAATGAAGATCTCATGGAGGGTTAGCAACAGGGGAGTGGGAGGAGGAGAAGGGGAAAGAAGGTACAGAAAATAAGTAGCATAGACAGTAGGTAGAAAATAGAAGGGGGGGCAAGAATAGTATGGGAAATATAGAACCTAAAGGACTTGAGATACGTGGTCATAAACTAAAGGGGGGTAATGGTGAGGACGGGGGTGTGCAGGGTGGAGGGGAATGAAGGGGGGATAGAACAACTGTAATGGCATAATCAATAAAAAAAATAAATTAAAAAAAAAGATAAACCTTGCGTAGAAGCAGAGCACACGTACAGCAGTGCGCGAGTCACATGTGCCCCTTGGTGAACTTTCAGAGTGGACTCCCCATGTGTGCAGCACTCAGCAAGGAACAGAGCGTTGCAGAAGCACCCCTAGTCCCTTCCCTTCACTGCCCGCCCTCCCGGTGGGTCAGCGCTGGGAGCCCTCCTGTCGTTTCCAGGTTGCTGCATTACAGTAGCACAGCTGTGAGCATGCGGCGCCCTTGGTGAGTGGGCGGCACATTTCTTTTCATTGTTGTTCCAGTTCTTCCCCCATTGCTCTCCCCTACCCCCCCGCCTGCTCCTTCCCGAGCTCCCACACGCATAAAGGACCCACGGGCACGGACAACAGGGTAGGGGTTTGGCTGTGGGAGCGGCACATTACTGTCAGACAGAAACGTAGGAGTGTGACCGCTGAGTGGGCTTTGGTAGGCGCCGCCAGGTTGTCCCCCAGGGGGCTGTGGCCAGAGGCAGAACTCCAGCCCCTGCAGGGCCCCGCCCACACTTGACACCGAGCCTTGCCTTTCAGCCACTCGGGGGGTCGGGCAGTGGTGGGAATGGCGACCCGTCTCGGCTCAAGCTCTCCAGTGTCTTCCCACGTCACTCCACAAATGCCTTACAGTGGCCCATAAGCAGGATGATGACAGGATTTTGTGCTCAAACCGGAACTTAAACTCTGAGAGTGAAGGGGCACTGCTGAGCCAGGACGACAGGCGCAAGTTGTCTGTCAGTCACCGCGGTCCCCAGGCTGCGTGGTCACTGCCTCCCCCCACCCCGCCCCCAGCAGAACCATCACTGTCTGCCTGCTGCACTCCCTCCCCTGCTTTGCTCTCTGCGACCACAGCGGCCTCCTTGAAACTCCGTAGTCTGAGCGATCGCGCTCCCCTGGTGCCGCTGGGCCCCCCTGGCTTGTACTGCTCTTCAGTAAAACCTGGCCTTTTCGTCGCTCTGTTACCCAAAAGCAGCTCCCTGGGAGGAGGAAGGCCGTCCCTGCAGTTCACAGCTGTGTCCCAGCACTTACCAAAATGCCTCAAATGTCACTCCTCATAGAATCGGGGTGGTAGGCAGAGGGCTAACATGCAGTGTCTTCAACTTTTCTACTTGAAGGTTTATAACAAAATGGGAGGGGAAAGTTACCTTTCTCCACCTTTAGAGCAAGCCTCAGAAATAGGCAAAGCGAGGTCTGGACAGGCAGCACCAGCATCACCTGGGAGGCTGTTGCACCCCAGACCCCCCAACTCAGGGTCTCGGGGCCACTGGGGCGGAGAATTCTGTGCACGCTCGGGTTGGAGACGCACTCAGGTGCGTTCACCCCCATGTCACAGGCAGGGGAAATGAGACAACACTAAGGCACACAGCCAGCAGATGGCTGGCGCGGCTGGGCCCCGAGGGCCCTGAGGGCCCCTTCAAGCGGAGGTCTGAGGGCGTGTCTGCAACCTCACTGACTTGTCCAACAAAAAGCAGTCGGCCCCGCTCCGTCGTCTCTGAGGGTCCGGAACGCTGGAACCGAAGTGTGTGGCATGTGCCACTCGAATGTGATGGGCACGTATGGGGTCCAGGCTACAGTGTTACTCGTCCTCCACCTGTCACTTTTCGTCTCCTTATTTTTTGGCAGAAACTTGGGAACCGTGGGAGCCGTCGCCCTGGACTGCACAGGAAATGTGGCTTACGCAACCTCGACGGGGGGCATCGTGAATAAAATGGTCGGCCGCGTGGGAGACACGCCGTGTATAGGTACTCCTGGCGGGGGGCTCCCGCCCCCTCCTTCCCTGTCACCAAGTTCCCACCCTCTGCTTTTCCTGTCTCCTCTCTCCTCATTTATTCCTCCTCCTGGTGGCAGCTGGGTGGGAAGGCACTGCCGTATGTCCTGTGGGCATGCTGTCCCTGGTCACGTGACTTGTGGGGTTGCCCCCAAGCTATCCGCAGTGTCTCTTCTCTGTAGCTCCAGGTTCAGGGTCCACATACTTAGTCCCAAAGGGTTAAATACACAAAACCTCTTCCCAGGCATGGGCACGAATGAAGGAACTAAGAAAGCTGAGAATTTAAGGGTGCAGTTATCACATTTGCATGGCGCAGAAGTGACACACTGCTACTACTAAATGTTACAGATTCAAAGGTTCTCTGCATTAGGGTCGAAGCGGATTCTGGCTAACTCCCAGGAGGGGGCGAGTGGTGGGAGTGGGGTGGTTGTGCATGTTCCGGCCTGGGGAAGACTGCGGGGGCCTCCAGGCAGAGGAGGAGCTGTCCCGGAGTAGCCGCTCCATGGACGGTCAGGCCTACTGCCCCTCCACCTGCCCCGGTGCCCTTGGCCCTCCTGATTCTAGGGCAGTCACACGGTGCTTCCCAGTCCGCCCACCGTTGCATCCCGAGATCTTTGTCCACACTTTGGCACTCCTTGGGATTTAACATTCATGTGGTACTAGACTTGCGATAGGCATTCACCTCTTCACTGTTACTCAGAACCAATCTTTTTCCCTGAGCAGGGTCCGGAGGTTATGCTGACAACGGCATCGGAGCCGTTTCAACAACGGGGCATGGGGAAAGCATCCTGAAGGTGAACCTGGCCAGACTCACACTCTTCCACGTAGAGCAAGGTACGTCGAACAAGTTCATGCTGCCTTGCTGTTTGTAGATAGATGGTGAAGCATCCAAAACCCTTCCTCCTCTGCTGCAGAGGTTGCTTTCAGGGCAACAGTGTTTCCCACCCACAGTTAGGGTGGGATCCGGACTAGGAGAGCGTGAAGGGCACTGCCTGCCGCATGACAGGGGCAGTAGAGGCTTGGAGCCTGGGCACCAGAGACAGGAGGCCTGCTCGGGCCGGTGGCAGGCCCGTCTCGGGGCCAGGAGGGCCTTGGGTGGCACGGGTCCTGCTCGGAAGCCTCAGAGATCGCTGACCAAGAACCTCTGTCACCTCACTTTGGTTTTCCATTCTGCAAATGATTCGTCCATCCAATTCGTACAAAAGTAACATGTGACTTCTCAATGTTTCCTTATTTTCAGGAAAGACACTGGAAGAAGCTGCTGATATGTCACTGGGTTATATGAAGTCAAAGCTCAAAGGCTTGGGTGGTGTCATCGTGGTCGGCAAAGCAGGGGACTGGGCAGTGAAGTGGACCTCCGAAGCCATGCCCTGGGCGGCCGCCAAGGACGGCAAGGTGCACTCCGGCATCGACGTCGGTGAGACCAGCATCACCGACCTGCCCTGAGCCCCTGGAAGATCATTCACTGGCACCAGCCTGCATGCAGGTCAAGTGCAGTTTCCTGGTGTGCAGAGTCAGCTTAACCAATTAGAGCTAGAAATAGAAAAATTCCACAGTCTGTCACTCATTTTGTTGCCTTGATCAATAAGTACCTGAATGTTTGGTGCGGGGTGGATTCCACAGTGATGAGAGAAATGCCCGTGGAGGCTCCATGTAAGATGGAGCCTTTCTCATACTCCACTGTCTTAGGTTGGAGAGAAAAAAATGACATGATCTTGACCCAACTGGGTGCAGGGAGTGCCCTTGGAACTGGGAGGCCCGCGCCTGCAGTGCCCACCCCCACTCTCTTGGTTGCACTTTCCACGAGGACCCCAGGACCCCGTGGGGAGGCTGAGGTGGGAAGGAGAGAGTGGGGGAGGGACCTGAAAGCGAGGCGGGGCGGCAGCGCAGCGCTAAGGGGCCCGGTCCTCTGGACTCAGAACGAGATTGGGCAGAAGCCGCTGTGAGAGGGTGGGTTGATTTTTCTGAGAAAGTTCGGATCTTCTCAACTTGCTAGTAAAGATGGTTCCACATAAGGGCCCTCTGGTAGCCGTAGCTCCCTAATCTGGGGGGAGGGTGATAATGCAGATGGCGGATGACGTGTCTTCAAATCGGAGCGTTCTCTTGGGCTGCGCAAGAGCCACAGGCTTGCCCCCTCTCCTCCTCTCCTGCGACAGGGAGGGCGACCTCTGCAGAGGTGACAGTGTGACGGTGACTGGCCGAGCTGCGGCCCCACCCCCGCACTGGCCGGGTGAAGAAAGTAGTGTCCTTGGCAGGCGGTGGATTCCTGTCCGTCTGTCTTCACACTGGAGTGAGTGGTGGTTCTGCGGTGACATGTCCGCTCCTCTTTCTGGTCTGTCAGGGCCGACCTTCCTTCTGGAAAGAAATTGCTTAACTTTCAATTCCATGTGCCTCTAATAAAATGTATTTTGAAAGAGTAACAGTGTGGTCAGGAGTCACTGCTGACAAAGGCCCGAGTGTGTGCGCGAGCTCCCCTTGGCCTGGGGCCCAGAGAGGTGCCAGGTGAAAGGCACGTGCCGGTGAGAGATGTGTGCAGGTGGCCACCGCGCCCCCTGGTGGACGACACGCTTTTCAGAAGAACCGAGCTTTTTCTGGATGGGTCGAGGCAGACCCCAGACCAGCACCTACAAGGATCAGCGGGGTGTAGGGGTCGGTCTTCCCGCAGTTTGCCGTTACTCACACCGAGAGCCTCACGATTCTAGCTGCTGGCCCCTGACCCTCCCTGCGCCCACGTCAGCTGCTCTGAACTAAAGAGAAAGACGCGGCCCTTGGAGGCAGAACCGAGTTTGAATTCTGCTGGAGACCCTGGGCATGTTAACTTTATCTACAGAGCAGATCACTGTGAAGACCAGATGAAATGACAGAATTGCTCCGCGTTTGTCCTAAGGGTCCCACAGACAAATGTGGACGCCGGCTGAGCCCAGGAGGGAGGCTCCAGGTGTGTGTCCTCGACAGCCTCGGCGTTCGATGGCTGCCCACCAGAAACAAGGGTTCTGTGAGCAGGTGTATTCGTTCGCTAAGGCCACCAACAGTAAAAACTCACAGACAGCGGCTCACACACAGTTCTTTTGTCGCAGTTCTGGCGGCCAGAAGTCCAAGATGAAGGTGTCAGCCCGTTGGGTTTCTCCTGAGGCCTCTCTGCTTGCCTTGCAGACGGCCACCTTCGCTTCGTGTGCTCACGCGGTCTTTCCTTCATATGTACTGCGGCCAAATGTCCCTCCTGTTAGGGACGCAGTCAGATTCGGGATGGGCCCACTGAGCAGCCCCACTTGAACTCCGTCGCCCTTCACAGGCCCCACCTCCAAATGCAGTCGGGCTGGGGCTTCAGCATACGGGTGTTGGGGGGACACTGTTCAGCCATCACAGGAGGTGAAGCAGAATCGCTTTAGGGCAGGGGTCCCTAGCCTCCCTCCTCTCCATGGACACCACCCACGTTATCGCCTGAGCTCCACCTCCTGTCTCCCCCACCCACCCCACCGCAGTCCGTGGAAAAATCATCCTCCATGAAACCCGTCCCCGGCACCGACAAGGTTGGGAGCGGATGATTTAGGGGGTGGCAAAGGAGCGTCTTCGTTGAAGAAGATAACAATCACCAAGTAGAAAAGGGGGACGGAAGGAAAGAAGGGAGGATGGGCTAGTGGGAACATCTGATTTGCACTTATCAGTCTGGCCACCCCCAAGGGAAGTGACTCCAGGTATCTGGGGCTGCGGGAGGCTCTGTCTGCGGCCCCTGACCTGTGTGGCCAAGCAGCCCCACTAAGCCAGCATGCGGGCAGCCCCTCCGTGCAGGCCAAGGCTCGAGTGCTTGCCCCGGCGCGAGTCTGTGGAAAGTCGCCTCCACTAGCCTGGGAGTTGCATAAGCCATGCCTGGGTCCCTTTGCCCCACAATTTGTCCGGTGGCCTTGCTCTGTGGAACAAACAAATGAGCGAGATAGTATCCAAAAGAGAATGACAACCTTTTCATCACTTCTCAGCCACAAGAGGGCAGCAAACTGTAAAATGTCCAGCGGTTTCTGCAGTCCAGCAAGGAAATGATCTTGATTCTGGGTCAAACAATCTACACAGAAAACATAAAACCGAAAGGGCATTCCTGTTCCCCACCTTCAATTCATCCAAATGCCACAATTTATTTTAGAGCAGAATTGTCCAAAACACACCCACACACCAGCAAAGGCGCCACGAGCCCATCAGATGCACTGCCCCGGTGGCTGCGTCCAGCCAGGAAGGCAGACAGACCCTGATTTGGCCCGAACTTGCGGAAAGGCTGGGACAACGCGGAGTGTGAGAGGGAGAGCAGGGAGCAGCATCTGCCCAGCAGGGAAGCAAGGGCTTTGACCCTGTAGCTGTTGCACAATAAATGTTCTTTTCAAACGATACTCTTTCTGCACGTGCTCCGTTCTAGCCCAAGAGTCCATACACTCTGAGGGCGGAAGTGGAGTGGAATGTGGTCAGGCCTCATCGCTGTCCCTCTCGTCAGAAGTGGTGGCCCCTGGGAAACTGACAGGGGACACAGTCCTTCCGACCCACACCTTCCCTGTGGTCCTCCTGGCGGCCCCAACCACCACCTTCAGACTTCTAGCAAACTTTGGGGGAGCAAGGAAGTGCCCCCACAGAGCTTGCCCAGCTGAGAAAAACGCAGGGGTCTCCTCCTCTGCAGAGGTGCGGGTGTGACCCAGGAAGGAGTGGGTGCTGGGCTGCAGGAGTGGGCGCGGGAGGTGTGGGCCAGGAGTGGGTGCCGGTGCCCATCCACTGGGCCATCCAGAGGGCGAATACGACCGATACCACAGCGGGCAAGCAGCCTTCCTGCCTCACCTGCCCGCACACCTGCCCCCAGGAGGAACAAACCCAGAGGTGCAGCCCACTCAGATTGAACCGAGGCTCACCTCAGCCTTGCTGTGGCCCTGAAGTGACAGTCCTGCTGTCCCATCATTCATGGCAGCCAGCCTCCACCAAGACTGAGGGGCAGCCCAGGTGAGAAGCAGAAAAGAGCAGCATGTTTTTGGCAACTTTATCCTTCAAATCCTGCTCCTCTTCTTCCAGCCTACTATTTAAGAAACTTGGAGCTTCATACAGTGAAAGGTCTGGGCCAAGCGTGGGCTGGGTGGGCAGAGGAAAGCAGGCTGGGGCTTTTTTTTAAATCACTGATCATCTCGGAGTTAACCACTTCCGGCTGCACAGCTATCAGCACCTTCTGGCTGCCGTGCAGCTTGGCTCTAAGCTACTGGGGGGGGGGGGGAGCAAGGAGAAAGGAGCCTCGCCCACCCTGCAGGTCTGAGGCTCCCCATGGAACACCCACCTCACATGGGCCCTGGATTGCATCTTGCAGGGTAGCAATGTTTTAATAAACATTGTTAAGTTAAATTTTTAAGTTAAAAATTAACCTTGTCATACACTAAAAGGGGTGTATCTGCATCAGAGAGTTTGGAAAAACTAGATTCACGATCTCAAAAATGTTTAAGTGAGTAAACAGATCCACAAAACTAAGAACTAAAGGGGACATTTCCTAGCAGCCAATAACTATCAGTATTAATGCCTTATTCATTAGTATTTTCCCCAGAATGAGATCATACTGTGCATGCTTTTGCAGTTAACCACTTTGCCACATTAAACTTTCGTGTTATGCAATACTCAGTCACTATTCAAATTTCTGCCGTTCTCTCAAAAACATCCCTGGCAGCAGATCCGACCAGCCCCACCCCTTGCCTGGACTGGTGACGGTGTCCCCTCTAGGCTGTGACTTGGTTGGGCCCAGTCCCCGGCACCACCACACCCTCCGGGTTGGTTGGGTGGCCCCTTCGAGGGGCAAGGTGAGCATTTGGCCAGAACGCATCACAGGGGCTGGGAGCCAGGCAGCCCATTTCAAACAGAAACGTCGACACCCCTTCTGCCACAGACAGTGTTGGGCTGTGGGAATAGGACTGGGCTTAAGGTCTGGGAAGGGGAATTCGGGTTGTGCCAAAAGCCCAGGGTCCCACCCGGGAGTTTGGCAAGGAGGGATTGGAGTCAGAAGAGCAGGTGGGAGCGAGTTTGCCCTGGGCAGCCACCAGGAACGGACTGGCCCACCACCGGGCCGCTCAGAGCCCCCCCAGCATCCTCTTCCCAGGCCACTTCCTCTCCCCGACTGTGCACACCAATCCTTCCCCAGGCCTGACCTGCCGCACAATAAGCCAGAGCTATCCAAGGGCCTTCTGGGCAAAGGGGAAGTTTTTGGAAGTATTGCCAGCCGCAGGTGAACACCAGCCTCCTACCAAATCCAGGGGAACATACCAGGGGGTGAGAACAAAGGCTGGGCTCCCCTAGCCTTTCAGATGGACGTCCCACTGTCCCCCCAGTGCCAGGTCCCTGGAGGGTTGGACTCCTGGACTCTCTCTCCCAAGTTTCTTTTCAGACATCAAGGACTTAATCTTTTGGAAAAAGCAAGAAAGATCAAGACAAGTTCTTCCCTTCCCCCCTTCTTCTGTCTGGTTTCTCTCCTCCCTCCGCCCCATGCCCACCCCCCTCAGCTCGCTTTGGGGCCGCATGCTTCCCCGTGACCTCACCCCGACTCACCGACCCCCACCTCAATCT